GCCAATCAGAAAAGAGGTCAATCTCGTAGTATGCAGTTTGACAACATTGTACCCGTCCTAGAAAGAGTCTAAAACGTTTGCGAAAGTGGTTGATGAAAAAATATAGTTGTGATCATAATTTCTTTATAATATAGTTTTTTAAAATTGAAAATGAAAAAAAAGTTACGCAAAGGCAAGCATTCGATCTTTGCTTCCCAAATTTAAAAATTTTAACATGCTTCATAACGATGAATTTGTCTTTCTTCTGCCCCACCATCTTACAGGAGTAAAATGAACAGTTGATAATAGTACATTCTATTTTCACCAACTTCAATTTACGTATTCTAAAACTGAAATTAAATTAATTATATAATTTTACAGATTTGATTGAGAAAGACGGCCTCCACGGCTCTCTGACACTGAGAGTAGCTTCCCTTTTTGTTTATTTATATTTTTTTTTCCACGATCGCGCAAAACTGAAACTAAAACTCTAAAACTAGACAGTGAAACGGAGCGAATCGAAAATGTCTACTGCAGGAGGAATGGATTGCCCTGTCTGTGGGATTCTTTTTAGCGCGGACACTATTTCTGACCATGTTAATGCCTGTCTCGAAGGTGACTTTAGTTCTACAAGCACGAGTAAGCCTAAAGAGACTCGAAAAAGAAGAAAACAAGCGGACTGGGATTTCTTAACCGGTAACGGCGTTAACAGCAGCAAGACTGGCAAAAAGAGAAGCACTTCATCTGCTTCTCCAAGCGCGCAGTCAGCGAAAAAAGGGAAGGCGACAAGTGGTGCCAATCGGTTAGGCGACAGGTTAAAACGGAGGTCTAAATCTTCTTCAAATGATGAAGACTTTAAATTTGAAGAAGAAACAAGTGATGTTGAATTTGTTTCTGAAGAAACAGGGTGTTGTAATACTAATAATAGTAACGCATCTGCCCAGAAAGACATAAATCAGCAAGCTAATGGTAAAAAATTCCCAGACTTTCAAACTAGTAGACCTAGTAGTAGTAAATCAAATAGTACAAGTGACAGGGAAACTATGACTATTTCTGAAGCATCAGTCACGAAAAATAATTATAAGGGACCCACCTTTCTTGATAGAATGAGAAATTCCAACACTGCAACAACTCCAGCAAGAAAAAACAAGATGCAGAGCAATGCTCCTCTGGCTGAAAGGGTGCGACCAAATGATTTGGCTGACTTCATTGGACAAAAAACAGCTGTTGGAAAGAAAACGTTGCTTCACTCGCTTCTTGCTCATGGAGATAAGGTTCCCTCTATGATTCTGTGGGGGCCACCGGGCTGTGGAAAGGTAATTTCATCCCTCGTAAATTTTCTGGGGAGGACTTCTGTAACAAGGAACCACTATGAAGTAGATATAGGGTTAGGGTTAAGGCTTGGCTTAGGGTTAGATCTAGGTCTCTTCTTTATTGTTTTTGTTGGGGTGATCGCCTGTCACGAAAGTCCTTTCGTTTTCTGTTCAGCAGGTCTTGATAATATTTGAATTTAGGGAAGGACTTTCCTGAGCAAGCTACCACCTAACAAATACTATAAAGAAGAAAATAACCCTAACCTTAACCCCAGTGGCGGTTCGTGGTTTATAGAACTGACCGGCCGTCGTTCACATCAACTTTTTCTCCCTCCCCCCACCCCCATCCTTCACAACACACACACACACACACACACACACACACACACACACACACACACACACACACACACACACACACACACACTCTCTCCTCTCTTTCTCTCTCCCTCTCTCTCTATCCTCATGTTATACCCCTACTTTCGCCATCGCCACCCCCCTCCCCCACTCACACACACCACTGACATTGTTGTAAACATAAAATTATAATGTGAAAAAGCTAAAATATGGTAGTGTCAAGAAACAATATTATGAAGCAAGTGGCTATTCTCCGGCGCTGCACCGGTCAATAGATCGGAAGCTATTCTCTAGCAATGCCCACCGAGCGCGTTTTGTTCTGCCGATTTTTAGCCCCCGCCGCGGGGGTGTTTCGTGGGACACACTAACGCAAAGGTTGTTGTCTTCAACTCGCTCTCACGCCGCTTCTCGTGAATGGATCATGAATAAAACTTGGCAGCCAATCAGAAAAGAGGTCAATCTCGTAGTATGCAGTTTGACAACATTGTACCCGTCCTAGAAAGAGTCTAAAACGTTTGCGAAAGTGGTTGATGTGGTGCGCTTTGAAGATTTTTCGGAGCTGTGATTTGTCAAACTGATTGATACGTTGTACACACCATTTTTCTTTATTTCCTTAAAATTTCAAGCTTCTGTGTTTAGCGGTTTTGGCGTAATCTTTAAAAATGTGGGAGTAACTAAGGGAAAAGCGGCATTGCCATTTTGCGAGTGTTGGGTGAACGACCGGCGGCTGGGAAATTTCCACTGTTGCATTTTAGTCACAATACAATAGATGTAGTTATTTTATTTGCTTGATTGCATGAAAGAAGAATAGAAACGGAAAAGCAAACGTCTTGAGATGTGGTATGGCATCGTGTTTGTGTTATGAAAGTCTATTCCCCCCTCTTGGGAAAGCACACACTTGGACTCGTCCTGTTTGCTCTGTTTGGAAAAGTGAGGCATTAAGATTGTTATTAAAGAGTATGGTACTTATTTAGTCCAGTCTGGGAAGATAGTCCCGTTTATACATTGTTATCGTTCACGCGTGCGTGCGTGCGTGAGAGCGCGCGAGTGTGTGAGAGAGAGAGAGAGAAGAGGGCAGGGGTGGAGGGTACTTACATTTTTGTGACAAATTGATCCAGAGCATTGCTCGGCAAGGAGGAACCTTTTTATGTTGCCAAGTTTCATTCAAATATCATGACTTTGGGAGAAGATATGACTGATAATCTTTGTAAATCTGTAAAGAACGCCACTTTTTCACCTGTTAATGTCTTTGCAACTCAAAAAGTAGGATAGATATTCAGTATCTGACAGCATGACTAGATTCTGCATTAAAAACTGTGCTAGACTGCCAAGTTTCATTTACATACTCCAAGAAATAGGCGAGCTATGACAAATATTGTCTCAAAACATTTTTACCTATAAACGTCTTCAGAACTCAAAAAGTAGGATAGTTATGACAAATCTGAAAGCAGAACTAGATTCTGCACTAGTAAATGTAGTAAGCTGCCAAGTTTCATTTAAATACTCTGAGAAATGAGCGAGTTATGAAGAATATTGTCTCAAAACTCACCAAAGAACGTCCCATATTTTGGGATAAGTGTACCAAAAATTAATTGATAAAAAAATTCGTAACTTTTCTGTTTATTGGTGGATTTCAAAAATTCAAAAAGTTCCATGCTCTGTGGAGATAGAGCTACAAAATGCACCTATTTGCAAACACTTTCTGGCAAAAAAAGGTTTTTCGTGGTCATTGCTCTCCAGCACCGCGCCATCGGTCTATCGGTCTATTACTAATAACTTTGTCTGCTCAGATTTTGAAATCAATGACTAAGCCTAGTATAGTAAGCCTACCTTTCATTATATTGTCTAACATAACTTTATTCATTTTGGGGCGTCCGTTTGCTTTATAAAAATATGATTCTGTTTCTATAAACAAACAAAATTGTGTCTAAAATCCTGTGTAGACATAGTAGCCTATAGCTTGATGGGTTTTTTTTTGTGAGTAATTTTTGATAAACTTAACTGATATTTCACGACCTCAATGCTTTCTTGTTGGGTCTTTCAATTACATGTATTGCTGACAAAATAATACAAGTGTCTGTGCAGCTCAAGACAGTCTCATTCTTAATTTTTTAAGCAGCACAGAGGCCAATTTGGCAATTAAGAGATGCTCTATTCACTTTGAGGGCAGTCGATGGATTTGCCCAGCAGACTGACGTCATTGCTGAACCCAGTGTTCGGTTTGTCCTCGTACGAAGTTCCGCAGCGTGATAGCTTGACAGGAAACGATTTAAAATTACGAGCTGGCGCTATGAACAAACATGAAGGAATGAGGCTCTGCCGCAACAAAACGGCAGTGATTCCCACTTGTTTATTTGAGTGCCTTCAAATCGGCAAGGTGCTTTTTTAATGTTGATACATGTTTGTTTGGATTTACTTAAATCTGAATGAGAATCATCATCAGCAATAAATCGCTTGTTAACAGTACAGCTGACAAAAATTTGCCCGACACCGCCGGTCTTGCCCATTTAAGAAACTGCCCCTGCTTAACCCTACCCTTACTCCTACCCCTAGCCCTCCATTCTATTCTGTTTGATAGTGGTCGCTCGTGATGGAAGTCCTCCCGAATCTAGAAATTCAGTGCTTGTCTGGTGTTTGGTGCATTGAGATTAGACAAACGTTACTGTAGCTTCAGTGGCTTCACTTACAGTCAGTTTTAATAGTCTGCTGGTGCTGCCTGTGACCATATAGAAAGGCACAAATAAAGCTGATTTGATGATTAAAGGTATTCATTTTATCTTTAGATGTACCCCCTGGTCCCCTGACCTCATCTTGTAAAATTTTCTATGACATGACGAGGTTTGAGTAACTTTTATTTTTAATTGACAATATTAATGCTGCACAAACTTTGGTCAACATGAAAGCTTGTTGTATCATGAAATGTTTCAGCTACCTTCTGAAGTTCACCCTTTTGTAGCATTTGTTTTGTCCTGGGGTGGAGGGGGGGGTAGGGTCGAAGGGGTGTGGTCAGTTGTGATTTAAATTCTTCTTAAGTGAATCATGAATGATTTACTTGAATCAGTTGATGGCAGGTAAGTCTAAAAGGTCCGTGACGAATTTAGTAAAATTCATACCACGTTCGTTACTCCAGTCAAGTCTCAAAAGAAATAATTTTGTGATGCTAAAAAAGTCGATGAAACCATTTTTATGTTCCATTCAGTTTCAGTTACTCTCTTGGTAGTGTATATAAAAAAATGTTCTTATTGACACATATATATTCTATGGCTTTTTACATGATATTCTGTTTTTGAATTTATATATTTTTTGTCCTCCCTTGCATACAGACAACCCTTGCAAAGATCATTGCCCACAAATGTAAAGAGCTTGGGACTGCCAAGTTTGTCATCATGTCTGCCACATCTGCCTCCGTCAATGATGTGAAAGAGGCTGTCAAAATTGCAAAAAATGACTTTAAAATGTTACGTAAGAAGACCATATTGTTTTTGGACGAAATACACAGATTCAATAAACTACAACAGGTGGGTACGATCAATTATTTCAGGACTAATATTCAAAGTGTTCTGAAATATTAAATTTTTTATGTTCTTTGCTCTCAAGATCAATAGGTCAAACAGATTTTAAAGTAAAGGTCTGCTGTGGGTTGTTGACTGGTGCTCTGGTGAAGTTTAGTTTCCCCCTTCTTTCCTACTTTCCTACCAGCTTTCATCCTTATCTCTCCTCCTTCTTTTCTTTGTACGCTGCTCATTAGTAATGTAATACCTTTAATCTTCAGCACTTACATGACCTATTCGTTTTGCTTGCAAGTTCCATAAAACTCTTTCTTAAACTAAAAGGCCTGTGATCATCTGTTAAAATTTTCAAAAGACACGATTATGTAGAAGAGGCATGAGAAGCTTATTGAAGACCGAGATAAAAGTATGCTTCATTTGTAAAAGAAGAGGGGCTGACACTGAATGTTTGGTGTAGCCTATCTGTGGGAAAAAGTGATTACTGAAAATTAAACTATGCAGGTGTAGAAAAAATGTAATGGAAGTTGTGAAAAATCTCTAAATCTTTGAATGCTATGGACTTGAAATTTTCAGTCCCTTGATATATTCTCCTTGACTTTGTATCCTGAATTTAACCTCCACAGCCACTTCTGGAAGGCACAGCAGTAGTAAAGCATCTGGTATGCTTTGCAGCTCTTGCTTGGTCCTGAATGCATTACTATAAGATTGTCCATTAACACTGCAAGTTTTCACAAATCAGTTTTTCCAATTCGCCAAATTTACAACATATATAAAGATGTTGAAATGGATGTTTTCTTTTGTGAAATTAATATTTTTTTGCTAACAGAGAGCAAACCTCGTATGTTTGTGAATCGTAAAATATTCAAGAGTGACGTCACATGAAACCTTGTTGGTTGATTTAATGATAGACATACAGTAGCGGGACCATCCCTACAGCGGGACTTTACCGGAATCACCTTCTATTTCCTTATGTAAACTCAATTACTTTTGCTTGGATATAATGGGGCAAGGAAAGTCCCGAACTCGGATACAGCAGGAGAGATCGAGCGAGCTCTAAGTGGGGGAGGGGGGGGGGGGGGGCTGTATCTCTCTTGCCCTTTTTTACTCCCAGTGGAGCACAGGCCATCAACAACATTACTCCAGCGAAGCCTGTCCTGAGCATCTTTTTCTATCTGTTTCCATGATGTCCCCGCTTTTTCAATTTCCACTTGTACCGCTCGCCTCCATGTCATCTTTGGTCTTCCCTTCTTACGCTTTCGTTGTGGGTTCCACGTTAAAGCCTGCCTGATGATGCTTGTCGAGGGTCTCCTCAGGGTGTGTCCAATCCATTTCCATTTCTTCACCTGAATATCTTCCTTTACTGGCCTTTGGCTTGTTTTCTCCCACAGTTGAGCATTCGTGACTCGATCGTACCACTTGATCCCCACTATCCTTCATAGGCATCCATTTACAAAGCTCTGCAGTTTCCTTGCTGAGGGGGGGGCTGTATGTGGGCTCCCAACAGGCAGTCAGTGGTGCGGCGTTGTGATTGGCTAGTCCAGTGATGAGAGAGATCTACAGATGTATACTGTAGAATATGACTGTAGCGGTACCCGCAGCTGCGGGACCATCCTTACAGCAGGACGTTACTGGAATCCCTATGCAAACTCAATTATCTGTGCTCAGGTTTAACACGGCAAGGAAAGGCCTGAACTTGGATACAGCGGGAAAGATCGAGCGAGTTCTAGCTGTGAAGAAGGGGGTTGGGGGGCTGTAGGCGGGATCCAAACAGGCAGCCAGCAGTGCGGCATTGTGATTGCCAGTCCAGTAATGAGTGAAATGGGGCAGGCAGCAGAGTGAGATGGTACGGAGAGACACGTTATGTGAGCAACTTCAAAATTTAAAGTGATGTGCCATAGCCTAGACGCTCAATACCGTATAAGTATAAGAGCGTATAGGCCAAAAAATAAAAGAAGAGGAGAGCGTGTAGTGTGTGATTCCTGATTCATTGAAATGCGGTCGTTTATGCTCAGGCATACACGCGCATCCACTTCACCAGTTCTACTGTAGGCCTACCGGTATGATAGACAGCACAAGCAACAAATCAAGAAAAAGGTAGCTTCCAACAAAGACTAAAGGAATTGCTTCTCACTCAAATTAAAGGCTGAGATAATCAACGAAGTTGACAATAAAAGGAAGACTAATATAAAGCGCACATTTTTATTGATATGGAAGGGATGTAATCGTGTAGATATAAATTAGGAATTTTTCAGTAATTTCCCCTTTTCCTTTCTATAACGGGAACTCGCCTACTGCGGAATTTTTCTTCTGGAACCCAAAGTCTCGCTATAGCCGTGTTCTACTGTGATAGATTAATTACATGTTTTGCTTTTATGACTGAAGACAATATTTTAACCGTTAGATTGCAACTTTGTTGCCCTCGTGGAAGCACATATTATTGCCGAAATTGTCTGAGACAGCAATCCCTTGTTCTGAAGGAAAATGACTGTCTTAGGCAGATGGGTATCTTACACAGTGCCATTACAATGTAAAAAAGACACAAGGGGTGAAATGGGCAGTGGCCGTTTGTACAGGTGGTTATCTTATACAGGTGGCAGTTAGAGCTGGTTCGACTGCACTTTGTTTCATCATTCTTTGTTTTGCTTCCATCCTCATCAGGACGTTCTGCTTCCCCACGTTGAAGATGGCACCCTGACCCTGATTGGTGCCACAACAGAGACCCCATCGTTTCAAGTTAACAGCGCGTTGCTAAGCCGCTGCCGAGTCATTACTTTGGGGAAGCTTGAGGTGAAATTCATTGATTGAATATTTGCTTGATCGAGAATATAAGTAGGTAGCGTAAACACGGTCTTGCGGGCACTCGCGGGCACTCGCTGCCTTCCGACCTCGTGGTATCGGTGAAATCGGGGTAATTCCGATCGCTGATTCTTGGCTCTTTAGCTATAAAACACCAAATGCAGTACGCCTTATAAAAGTTCAGCTTTTCCTCGTTACAATGGTGTAAGTTGTTTATATATCCGATTATTAGGAGCTGGAGAATCGCTGAGGGAAGCGAAGCCCCTCGCGGTCGGAATGCATGGTCGACTGGTTAAAAAATTGACACGTGTGTATTCAAATGCTTCGCAGAAAAAGGGATGATCAAATACCGTCTTTTCTTTGGCGGAAAACTGTAGAGCTTTAAACGGGCTTTCCCGTGGTATATTTTTGGCCTTTGGCGTTTAAATAGAAAGCCTTTAAAAATATCGTCAAAATTTTCAAATATAATTTTTTACGTGAAATATGTAAAATACCCGCCCAACAAAGTGTTAATTAAAAGATCAGTTCATTTTCTATTAGAATAAAGTAATCAGCTTGGAATTATTTTGCATCAATCCTTCCGCGAGACTTGGAAAGCATGTGACCCCCATCGCGGGGTACACTACAGTATAGAGCCGACTCGCTCGCCACGGGGGCCAGTGCGCCGCCGGCTGGGTCAACGCTCTGTGTTTTTGTCAATATAACGACAGATCATCGTGTTTGAGGCGATAAAATACTGATTTGTAATGATCTCAGTCTTGAAAAAACCATTGAAAATACCATTTTCTTAAAAAACTTACATGTTAAAGAATGGTACCAAAATGCTCGGTGGATATAGGCCTTTCAAATGGAACAGATAAATTTGGCATACAGCTACTTTGAAAATTTAGTTTCTGGTATCTAATATAAGTTTTAGAGGTCTTAATCAGACAGATTCATTTTGAAATTTAACACTTCCATTAATGAACACAGTAAAACCTCGGTATAACATACACGGCTTAAAATATACTGCTGTAGGCTGTAATGTTCATTTTCTAAAGCTTCACGTTCCATTACATTTGACAACCATGAGCATTTTGCACTGATAAAATACTGCTGGGACGTTTGTTTGAGATGTTTCTGAGATATATTAAGTCTGCTGGGATGATAATATAGATTATAAAGTGCATTGAGCTTGCCGTTGAGTGGGAATATGTGCTGTGCTGATGCTAATGTTATTTATTGTCTTATGTGTTAATGAAAGTGTCAGTTGTTTCCCGGAATGCTTTGAAATGAGAAATTCTTGCCCTAAGCAAGTCATCCAAACAAAATATTCAGAAACAGAAAGCTCCCAATTTTCACCTAAAAAAAAAAAAAGGAAATCTGGATTATATCTGAAATTATTCAGATTCTACCAGACCATTTATATTTGGATCTCTTTGTGCATTTGTAATTTCACTCTTTCTAAAAAATATCCCACAGTTTTAAGTCAAAATGTTTTAGATCCATTGTTCATTTAGTTGAAGCAAAATGAAACATTCCGTGACCGTGGCACTGTGACCTATGCCCAAGCATAGATTCTATGATAGAGCATGGTTGTAAAGTGGCCCAAAAATGGGATCAACCCTCTAAATGTGTCTGAGTGAGTGCAATATGATGTCTCTATCCTCCCCCCTGCTTCCCTAATCACCCTTTACTGACTTTTAAAATGAATTTCTACGAACAGATAGAGGATGTCAAAGCTATCTTGATGAGGGCTTTGACACAGCTGGAGGTGTCTGTCTTGGATGAGGAGAATGACATGACAGACAACGGAAGTACTGATGTCAGGTATAATGACACACTTGTTGTGTTTACCTTTTGTTATCTTTTGTCGAAAAAACCCCCACAGTCTAGCACACACTTAAGAGAACACACACAAAATGAAACATTGTAAACAGATTTTCAAGTCCCCTTTTTTTTTCGTTCATGCATGCTTTTTCTTCAAATTTAAAACATGTGCATAGGAAAATTTACACATAACGAAAAGATTTCCAGGTCCCGCCGATTTCGCTTTGTGCGTGCTAGAGTGTGGTTCGTGTTTTCATTTCTGCCAATGTGCTCTGTTGTAGCTATGGGTGTTCAAACTTTTGCTGCACATTCTGTTTATCTTGTTAGTGTTGGGCGATTGAATGTTTGATAGAGGTGAGCACATGTTGAGGTTGAACGTTGAAGGGAAAATCAAAGTGCAGTCGAACCTGTTCATAACGGTCACTCAAAATCACAGAGAAAAGTGACCGTTATAGACCGATGGCTGCTATGGGCAGGGTCTGAGTTATGGTCACTTACTAGACTTGACAAAGTCAACAGATGGTGTAAAACATGAAACTTTTATCTTATCTTTACACTTCTATCAAAATTGTTATCTGTAATAAGAGCTTCATGCATTGATTGAACATATAGGCTCAGTCTGAAGACGGGTTGGTAGGAAACTTTTGTCAAAAGTGACTGCACAAGTTTTGAGGTCGAATTGTTGCGAAAATGTCTAACTGGCTGTTTTGGACAGGGATTGCTACAGACAGGTTAAAATTTAAGAAAAATGAAAGGACGTCATGGAAGAGTGACTGTCAGTACAGATGACAGTTTTGGAGAGGTGACTGCTAAGACAGGTCTGACTTTTTTCTTAATGAAACATGAATGTTGGTGAGTCCGATATTTCTTCGGTGTTGGCTACTGTCCACCAGATCAATCCTATAACTGCTACATGTATTGTTATAAGACAGTTTTAGAATTAAAATTAGATAAGGGATGAGAGAGAAAACAGTGCACTTCAATATGACACAACCATTCTCATGTTTATTGGCAAAAGTTCTGAAATCCTTCTTTTCTAGACTTGGGTGCCTAGTGGGGGTTCTGATTTGGTTTGCTCCATCTTCCCTTCCTATCAAGTTGAATCTGCTTTAGCGGCCACCTGTATAAGATCAGACAATCGCCTGTACAAATGGCTGTTTCTTATTTCCCCTCTTTCCTTATTTATTTTTTATAATGACACTGTGTGTAATGTCCACCTGTGTAAAACAACCAGCTTTCTCCTGGTCAACAAGTGGCTGTCTTAGTTAAGTTCAACTGTATGTTACTCCCTTGTAATACCTCTAATCTTTGGCACTTATATGACCTATTTGTGTTGCAGGTACGGTAAGACTCTAACTAAAACTCAAAACTCTTTTTTAGATGTCGTTGCGTTATTGAAGCTGATGCCGTAGAAGTTCTTGCCGGTCTTGTGGATGGAGATGCCCGAGCGGCTCTCAATGGTTTGCAAATGGCCGTGGAATCACGGCTGGCTGAAACAGAAGAAGATGCGACAGATGAGCAGGAGGAGGAGGAGGAGGAGGTCAAGAAAAGCAACAATGTGGTCTGTATCACAGTGGAGGATGTGAAGGAAGGATTACAGAAATCTCATATCCTTTATGACAAAACAGGTAGGCTTTCATCATCATCATCATCATCATCATCATCATCATCATCATCATCATCATCATCATCATCATCATCATCATCATCATCACAATCATGTTTTAAAGTAGAAAAAAAGTATACTTGAAACTTGAATGGGGTTGATCACATTTAATCAGATGTTCGTATAGGCCTGGATGTTCAACGTTTTGCCAGTAAGGCTTCATCGGGAACATAGTATTTGAGAAAAAAATGAGTGATGGCGCCATGGCAACAAAGCATTCCCTATAAGTTACGTATTGGTGCTGAACTGAGCAGGACGGCCCAATTTATGACAGATACCAGACTTCAAGTGTGATGCGATCGAGAAGAAGAAGACGTATTGGTGTGATTTGAACAATATCGGAAAGAGCCGAAGCTCTGAAAAAGAAAAGCTAACTCGTTACTGCCATGGTCCTTGCTGAGCATGTAGATACGTTACAGTTAGTCAAACATAGTGTTGAGAGTTCACGCAGAACTGGCACAAATTAAATTTGGAAAGGGGGGGGGGGTAGAAGATGTACAATCAAGTGCAACAGCACAAAGAAAGGGAAACCCAAAGGTATAAGTCATCATCATCATCATCATCATCATTCCCCTGCTTCACCTTGGTATTGATCAGCGAAAGATCTTGTCAGTATCTTAGTGTTTTTGCACCTATAAAAAATGGCAGCTTGCACTGTACACTTCGCAGGAACTTGAGATTGTTTGAGAATGCTATTAGGTCTGCTGGGGTAATAATGTAGATTGTATATGAGCGTGTCGAGCTTGCTGTTTAGCGGGAAGTTTTGCTATACAAATACTATCTGTTAAAATCTGGTGTGGGCCACTAAGAAGGCTCTCCACCTGTCTCTGTTCTGAGCTATCTTCTCCACCTCCAGCCAGCTGTGTCCCATACGCCTGAGATCTGCAGTAGGCTTTGATGTCATTTATTTTTTATCAGATGCCGTCGAAATTGTCCAAGACGGCCACCCATTGTCAAGAAGAACAGTGGTTGTCTTAAACAGACGGATGTCTTGGACAGTGTCATTATAATACTGTGGAATCCTGTTTTAACGAGAGGGAGGGGACCGGTGCGAAATATCCGTTATGGCAGGATTCTTGTTATAAGGGATCCAGTGATAAATTTAAGGGAAATAATAATGTAGGCCAAATCTATGAGTTCGGCGTTTGGTTGTATCTTTTTATTATTTCCACTGATGATGATTTTGTTCAACGTGACCTCTATGTCTTACTTGTTCAAAAATCGAATCGGGTTTCTTTCTGTAGCACTAGCGATATTGACAGCTCGGCGTTGGCGATCAGAAAGAAAGGACTCTAGGCTAACTCGCCCACTGTGTTGTCCCCTACCCCTCCACATCCTGTGGTGTGTTCCATCTGCTTGCGCACATTGGGTACACACCAAACCCTACCCACATCACACGCTCACTCCATCCCATCACAGCACTGTGACCTTTCCATCCCTGCATCAGAGAAGTGAGAGGCATGGTAGACCTAGATAATCTAGACTAGGCTGGCGTATCACGCTATAAGTTCTGCTTGTCTCTGCGTGCCATAGCCTCCTCACTCATTCGCTCCGGCCTTCATTGTTGGCACACTTGGGCTCTCCCATTCTTTGTTTCGCTAGGTCACCAACAAGTTTCTCAACTGGTGATGTTTTACATTATGCATAATTGGCCCATGCGCTGTGCACAGCAGTAACAATATTCCGCTATAACCGACTTGCATGTTTTTCTGATTGTGCTATAGCAGTATTTTATTTACAAAGATAAAGAAGAGAAAAAACCCCCAGGGTTTTAGAACAGTGTCTTTATAACAGACTTCTCGTTATTTCAGGACTCATTATAAGTGAACTCCACTGTATAGAGAAAGTGTAAGAGGTGACGTGGAAGTGTTTGGTTGTAATTGTAATTTTTATGAACAGCGTGGGCTATTCCTTTGGAAAACATAATAGCCTAAAATAGACTTGATCGCATCCGCAAGAGAACAATGGTCTTAAGAAGAAGGCATAGAGGCTCAGAAAATGTGGCCTTTGTAATAGCTTACTGTTTTTTTCCTGTTTGGGGGGATTTGGTGCTCCTTTGAAGTGAAGTTTTCTGTAGGAAGTGGGTAATTGGAAGTTATCAAAATCATCGCAAAATTGTACAGCTTTATTTTACATTGATCAGGCGAGAAACAGTACAACATTGCCTTGGCTTTTCTTACATTAATCAGGTGAGGAACACTACAACATTTCCTCAGCATTCATCAAGTCCATGAGAGGTTCAGACGCTAATGCTGCCCTCTACTGGCTCTCAAGGATGCTGGAAGGAGGAGAGAACCCAATGTTTGTGGCTCGGCGACTGGTGGTCTTTGCGAGTGAAGATGTTGGTGAGAATGTTTGTGATGTGAGGGGTGCTGACAAAACTAGTTGCTTCACGGATTTTGGCCTGATGGAATGGATACATCGAGTTTATAGGTGGAGTTTGTACAATGTATAAGTATAAAAGAATAAAAGACATGTTGAACTTGAAGAAAATAACATCAATTGAAAATCTACAAATTTGTCTCTAGTGTCAGGCCGAAGGACTAGAACCCAGATGGCCACCGGATTAGAAAAGTTTAGTAAAGTAAAGTTTCTGTTGTCGAATTTTAGGCGATATCCCCATTCGTGGATTGTGAGAAGCAACCCATTTTGTATGGTACGTCTGACATTTATGAATTGATTCTTTTTATTCAAACTTAAAGCCAATTGAGAGTGTATTTAGTTGATTGAGTTCTTTCATAACGAAAGCGTAAAAGTGCTTCATACAAAGAGATCTGCTTTATGAGGTATATCCTTTGTAGAACGGCCTTCAGTTAATAAATTTTAGATTTTCATTACTGTTATCAGTGCATGGTGATTAGTTAGAAAAGCTTTTGACGTAGCTATGTTTGAAATATTGTGTTTTGAAAGAAAATGTGAAATCGTGTTTCTGTATTCTGCAGGGCTGGCTGACGCGCAGGCTCTGGTGCAAGCTGTGTCCACCATGCAGGCGTGCCACTTCATTGGGATGCCAGAGTGTGCTGTATGTAATTATAGAATAAGAAATTTTTTTTTAATGTAACTGTTTTCATGCCCCCACCGACACAAATTAAATCATTAAGGAGGCTGGCTTTTGACCCTGCCTTTCAGGGCCAACCTGAGCTGAGAGGGATACTACATCCCAGCAGAAACAGATACTCCATAAAATCTTTCTCCCCTCTCAGAAATTGAACTCAGGTCTCCTGCGTGTGACATCAAATGTCTAACCGCTATACCACAGTGTGCTGAACGTAGCAGATGTCTACCACTGCCTTAACATTTTCTGCCTGTCTTTTACTCTGCAATATAAGCACCTGAAATTGAATTTTTTTAAAGAATCATGATTTGAGCTTGACAACCATTGTAATCATATTCCGAATTTTTTTAGATGCTTTAAAAGTTCAATGCACTCTCAAGAAAGCTATAGCAACACAAAACCTGGGAGATTCTATTTAGCTGTGGAAAGTACAAAATATATTCAGCCTTATGCTGTCCTCAGGGAAATTCGTGCCCGCAACCCGCAAGTTGCGCTAGCAACTTTTGCCGTCAGCACAACTTTTGCGCAGCTTTTACCATTTTCGTGAATTCGCTAATTTTAGCCAATTTCCTGCAAAATTTTGAAAAATAAAAATAAAACTTTATTAATAACACCGAAATTTTCTTCCACGACTAAAAATAACGACGCCAAGGGGGACAATTCGCTCCTTTGCACTACGGGGTGCCCGCAGCCGCCCAGTGACCCGGGCCGGGTCAGGTTGGGTCGGGATGATCACCCGACTCATCACCTGGGGGGGGGGGGGGGGGGGACCCCCCACAAAAAAAGTTATAATTTATTTTTTTAACCCCCCCAAAACTCCCCGGCTCCCCCTCCCCCCCCCTTTTACGGGTTTTTTTAGGTTTTTCCCCATTTCTAAGGGGCAAATTTTTTTTTCTTCCCCCACCCCACCCCCACCCATTTTTTTTTTTTGGCGCCCGGGGGGGGGGGGGGGGGGTGGTAGACATTCACATTTAACTTCTGATTTTGATCTAACAAAAACTCATTCATGTATTGGTTACTTTTGATTGCAATGAGCATAGCAACAATGTATTCCAATAGTTCCTTGGCATTGTTTTAGCTATACACGTCTTGCAACTTTTCTTGCAACTTTTGCTAATTTTTCTTGCAACTTTTGCTATTTTCAAATGCAACTTTCTCTGAGGACAGCTTATGGGTTCTTTGCAAACCTTTCCAGTGTATCTATGAGATCCCCAAGTTTGGTTTTTTTCCTTTTTGGAGAAATTGCGGGTTTGGTTCAGAACTCTGTTTATGGCTAGACTATCAAAATTTTTCTTTGAAAAAATTTGTCGTCTTCTTTGACATTTGGATTTTGTTTATTCTGACTCATTGTAATTTCTAAAGCTTTGCTTACAATTTAGTAACAATCAAAGAAAAATATAACAGAAACTTTCTTCGAATTGTTTAGAGATAAAACTAACAACAACATTTGCCACTCTTTTCACATGCCTGTATGTATTGTAATATGTGTGTATAACTAATTTCCCCCCCACCCACATCATGTCTTTTTGTACACAATTACAAACTGTCATTTAGATGTGGTTAGCAACTGGTGGGCAGGCAGCTACCGCTGTATACCAGTTTTTGTTCGCTTGCGACTTAAATTCGTGGTTTTTAAAGAAATTTATGAAATCAATTTGTTTGCGAAATGTTAAAACGGAATTATTATTATTATTATTATTATTATTATTATTATTATTATTACAACATTATCATTATAGTTATTATTGATACTAATGATATTTTTAAAATTTTAAAAATTAAATTATCATCATTATGATCATAATTATTATTTTATTATTATTATTATTGTTACAATCATATTATTATTATTATTATTATATCATTATAATTATTATTATTACTAATAATATTTAAAAAATTATTTTGATTAAATTATCATAATTATGATCATCATTATTATTTTTATTGTCATTATTATTATTGTTGTTATGATTATTATTGTTATTATTATTATTTTTGTTTGCTCCCAGGTGAACCTGGCGCAGTGTGTGGTGTACATGTCGCGGGCGCCCAAGTCGGTGGAGGTGTATACAGCGCTCGCCGCAGCACGTCAGTGTGTGAGGGGCCAGGTGGGAGCTCTCCCCAGCGTGCCGCTACACCTGAGAAACGCCTCCAACAAGTTCCTGAAAAGCCAAGGTGAGGGGAAAGTTAAAGGCAGTTTTTTTTATTTTTTAAATATAGGCGTTTTTATACCCCCATCGACACAATTAGATCATTTAGGAGGCGGGCTTATGACCTAGCCTGATAGGGCCAATCTTGGCTGTGAGGGATACTTGATTCCAGAGGAAAGAAGGAGATCCTAGAATTGAACTAGGGTCTCCTGTGTGCTACAGTAAAGCACCCATCCGCTATACCTCAGAGGCCGGTAGAGGCAGTTTGGTGAAATGTTATTTAACAATGAGTCACCATTATGACAGCTACTGTTTGACTTTATCAATTTAGGACAATAGGACTGTCAAAACTGTCCATACCTCCACCTTCTGGCAAAGAGGAAAGTGGTCATCTTGGACGGGTTGTTGTCTTGAACAGGTGGTTGCTAGAGCAGGTTTATTGTATGTATCTGAAAAGAAGATTCTGAAAATTCCCACCCACTTGCCCACCCCTTTCAGATACAAACAGGCACACGCACAAGGCCTTATCATGGCATGTGGTGATGTTGTTATGTTGACTTAGTAATAAAGAAGGCAACATCAGTTTTCAAGTGAGTCGATGCTTGATCGCAGAGTAGTAATGTTATGCACTCTAAGTTTGAGATTTTCACCTCCCTCCCCCCCAGCTGAGAGACTTCAAGAAAGGTGGCTCTTGGTGAGAGGGTATAAACTTACATTTGTGTTGTCAATTTTTGGCCCAAGTAGGTGTTGTAAGGAGATGAACAAGAGAAGAGGGATGCGCGCACACCCAAATTATAGGCTATTCTCATTGTTCACACTGTTTTTGAATCGTCCCAAAAAATTTTTTGCGGATAAGTTATAAAAATAATTTTAGGCAGATAATCTATGGCAGCAAAGGCTGATGTTATTTTGTTAGAGGAAAAGGTTGCTGTTAAACAGTGTTATTTATAGGAAAATTCCGTTACACAAACTTATGTTCCTGTTAGATGGAGGTTGCTTTTATCTGGGTTGCTGTTAAGTGGACACCACTGTATGTAGGATATCTTTGTCTTGTCTTTCCAGGTTATGGCAAAGGGTACAAGTACCCTCCAGCATTTCCAGGTAAGTCCGTGGAGCAGGACTATCTCCCATCGTCCCTGCTAGGTACAGATTTCTTTGTGCCCGGCAACCCTTTCTCGAAGACTTGAGGATTGCAGTCAGAGTCAGGATTTTCATGTTTGGTGTGTTCAAGAATTGTGATGACTGACTGCGGGGATGAAGATTTTATTGGCAGCTGTTTGAATAATATGTATGTGTGTGTGTGTGTGAGAGAGAGAGAGAGAGAGAGAGAGAAAGACAGAGGTAGTGAGAGAGAGAGATAGTCAAAATGATACATCAAACATAATGTCAGCAAGCATTTAAAATGTCGGGACTATCTCCCACCATCCCTGCTAGGTACAGATTTCTTTGTACCAGGCAACCTTTTTTCGAAGACTTGAGGATTGCAGTCAGAAAGCAAAATTTTTCCGAAGAGGGAGAAAAACTGTTTCATTCTTTGAATAGTAAAACCTAAATTATGTATTTTTGTCTTGCTTTTTTCACCATTTGGAATTTGAATTTTGACAAAATATTTCTTCAGTACATGCAACAGAGTATCCTTAAGTAAGAAATTGTAATTTTTTTAAAAATTCAGAATTTTGAACTTGGTATAAAAAGTAGTTGTGTGGTGTGTTTGTTGGTGTGCATGACCTGGTATGTTTCTTTCATATTTTTATAATACCATTTCCAGTGGTAATGTATTCAGAAAGTGGTATTATGCTTTCATTGATTTACACACTTGACCAACGACTGTGCTGAAGCAGCTAAGCGCTTCTCCTTAGCATGCAAGAGACTGTAGTTTGATTCCAGTGTGGGAAGAATTTTTTTATTGAGTATCTGTCTTTCTGCTGAGATGTTGTATCCTTCTCAGCCCAGATTGTGCCTGAAAGGTAGTGTTGAAGTTGAAGCCTGCCTCCTAAATGATTTAAATTGTGTTTTTGGGGGCTTAAAAACACTTAGACTACACTTTTTGTTAAAATCTCTTGACAATGAAGAGGGGAAAAAGGTATACATAAATACTTTTGCTTTATTACAGTTGTTACTTTGATATTACTTATTATTGTTTGTTGCTTGAAGGTTCTATGGAATGAATCACTTTTACCTTTTGTTTTATGTGAATATGTTTGCCTGTGGGACACGCCATAACTTTTTCTTAACAAAAACAGTCTCTGTGCTACAAGTATATTCTTCAACTTAAATGTTGAAAACATTTTCAATTGAATGTAAGAACTGAAACTCTAAGGGAAGGCGCGGGTCTTCAAAATACGATGTTTGGGTCAAAATATCGATTTTCAACTTTTTACATTTTCGGGTACCTGAATATGTTAGGAACCGATACCCCCTGACTTCCATTAGAAAATATTTTTAAAAAATCGTTTTAGGGTCATTTCCTTTAGGGTACCTTCCTCAAAGTAGGACCCATTTTTTTCATCAAATGAGCCCTAAATGAGCCCATAATTAGATGGTGATGACAACAACGTGTCTCCGCGTGACCCTAACATGTTTAATATCGTTGTAACCGCAAGCTTCTCCTCTTCCAAACCGTAAAACAATCTTGACTGATGTGTTTCTGGCAGTTTAGTAATGAAGCAGGACATACGATGCCCCATTTTGTAAATCTTAGTTTGTTTTGAATAAAAATGAATCCCCGGTACTAAAAATTGTGACCATGACGTCACTATTCAGTCAGAGATTGCCGCGCGGTAAGGAATCTTCAACAGTTTTTTAAAAAGATATCGCTACTATTTTCTTTCGATTACAAAAGCCTGTTGGACTGTTTTCACCAACGGAACCACCAAATTTGCTTTTGTGTTTTGGGAAACTTTATCGTGTTTCTCACTTATCTTTATTTTAGTGCACCCTTGTCTTTTTGTATGTTCATTCAATACTCTCCAAGAAGTTGTGTTCAGTTTAGTATACATTTCAGCTTGTTTTTTTCCCGTGGTTTGCCCGTGCATTTACTTTGATGTGTGTGTGGTGGAGGTTTTTTTGGTTTTTGTTTGTTTGTTTGTCGTTTTTTTGTGAGGGGGGATAGATGTTGGTAATGCAGGTGTTTTTACACGTCTATTGACACAATTTAGATCCTTTAGGAGGCTGGCTTTCGACCCTGCCTGTCACTGTCAGAGCTAACCCGGACTAAGATGGATCACATCCCAGCAGAAAGACCCAGCTACTCAAAAGAAAGTCTCAATGCTCAGGAACCGAGATCGAACTCAAGTCTCCCGAGTGTGACAGTGAAGCGCCTCATCGCTTCACCACAGATATTGATTGTTTGTTTTTTGTTAGGGGTATGGGATAAAAAAAGTGAGAAAACGAACACGTATGAGAGAGAGGGAGAGACAGAGAGAGGTGATGTGATGTATAGAGATGATGCTGCATGTAAGAGTATTCTGTGTCACAGATCTCGTGAGGGCATACTTCACGTTTCCAAAAACGTTTGGTCAATATAATATAGCTTGCCTTATCTTACAAGCTTACAATGAAAGGGACGCTGTTATGAACGTTTTGCTGACTTATATACTTGCTGCCGTAGAGTTGAAAATTATTGTCCTGGTGAGGCCACAGTATTACATTGGTCATTGCTATTTCATTCATAAATATAATAGCATTAAAAAGTTCACCTCAATGAAAATTTAAAAGCTTGTACTTATAAGCAAAGCAAACCTTTTGAAAGGAACAAAAGGAATTAACACAAGTGTATGATTAACTGTAGCGTTGTAAACTTATGAATTCCTTTACAGTGAACCTCGTATCCACCGATAGCGGACTTTCAGGGAAAAGAGCTTCAACGGATTATTTCTTATTCATTTCTAATTTCAGCAAACCACAGGCCTCGGCAAAAACACTATCGCCGGGACTGATGTGATATCACTGTTATGACAGAATCCTGTTAATGACGGAAATGAAGTTTTCGTACCCTGTAACTAATGATTAACGAATGGGATAATTCGTCTTAAAAAAAAAAAATTACCCGCTACCTATTTATCAAGTGTATCCCTTTTTTTAACGAGTGAAATCCCCCCCCCCCCCCACCTTTTTCTTCCTTTTTTTCTAGCTTCACAGTTTCTTAGAGATGGGGTAAACATGATTTGAGATGCACATGTTATAGATCTGCGGTAGATCTAACGTTTGGAGCCTACTTTTCATTCAATCTTTTTTTCCTTAAAACATGTCTCCCCACCGCATCAGGAGATAAGATGACGATGTGGTACCAAACTTTGGCCTTGCGAAGTCACTGACTGAATTTTCATAAACACCAAAGTGAACCCAGCTTTCTCCTACCCCCCCCCCCCCCCCCCCCCCCGCCCACACACACACACACACATACACTGTACATGCACACAATATGACACTTCATGAATTGTGTCACAATCAACTTAGCCTACCGTAGGTCACGTAAGTCCACTTCACCGTAAATGTTATCTGTTGCCTTGCTTCCTTTGGTTATACCTGCCGTCTTGTCGATTTGTCGATTTGTTTTAGTTGGGATTTTGTCAATGATTGGACCATTGTTATCGCCGAACATGTCTGTCCGAATGCTTGCTATAAATAACCTTTTATTATAGATTATAAAAGGTCGGATTTATGGATTTCCTGCCATGGCCGGAATCCTGTTATAACCTTTGACTGATATAAATGGGGGTCACTTTACCTCGTCTTTATCAAACAAATATACGAGGGACTCGGGTCCAACGTAACAGTTTGCCCTGTCAGATGACCCGAGCGTTGATTCCTGGTGCAGTTTTCCAACATGAATGAACCCAAACAAATCTTATCTAAGCCACTGACGATCGGTCGACGGGGTGGTGTGAGAGAGGGTGGGGGGAGCATTTGCAAATACGTGTTGTACTCGTAGATCATTTTCTGCTATGGCTTACGGAATGTCACCTATCTGATACACAGCTTCATTTTGGGTAACCAATCAGCGACCCCTTCACAGAAACCAATACACCAATGCCAGCTTCTGCTCCAGGTGAATATATATAAATACATACTTATATATATATATATATATATATATCTATATGTATGTGTATATGGACATACCTACTGTATCATCTCATTCCTAGGTCATAATACATCAATCATACAATCTGATTTTGTATATATAGCAGTGCGGTGGGAGGGGGAGGAAGGGGTATGTTCCAGCGAATTCCCTCCTGGGCTGGGTGACCTGAGTTGGTGCTGAGAAAAACTAATAATAACGATGTCTAAAGAGAGATGAACGTGCCTCATAACAAGAACTAAACAGCTTGTCCTGCAAGCAGCCCCAATGTAGTATCTTCGAAATTCATGTCACACCAATGGAGCACTCATAGTGTTGGTGAGTGTGCTAGACAGGAAGCGCTTTAGTGAAGGAGAGAAAGAAAAGAGGGAGTGGAGGGGAACTAAATTCTCCCCATTTCCCTCTCACTCCCCCCCTCGTCTCTTTTTCCAACTCATCTCTCTCTCTCTCTCTCTCTCTCTCTCTCTCTCTCTCTCTCTCTCTCTCTCCCTCTCTCTCTCTCTCTCTCTCTCTCTCTCTCTCTCTCTATTTCTCTCTGTGTGTGTCTCCCTCTGTGCGTGTGTGTGTCTGTGTGTGTGTGTCTCATCTCGAGTATATTGAATATATGCATACTATATTCAAACACAAAAAAAGAAAGAGGAGAGGTATGGATGATAGACGTTTGATAGGAAAGAAGGAGCGCATCTAACCAGAGCACCCGCCAACAACCCACTAGAGAGAGCGAGATAGAGAGAGAAACAGAAAGAGAGAGAGAGAGAGGGGGGGGGGGGGATTTGTTGTTATCTCGCTATATAATGTCACTGGAAGATTTTATTATTTCCATATATTACTGATCAAGTTCGGGAACCAAATAGAGCTGATAGTAGACATGTTCTCCAGTTTTTTAATGCTAAACTTGGGTGGTGGTAAATTTGGGCCAAAACTTCGGAAAGTATCTGTCTAGCTCTATAGAATATAAAGAGCTTTTGATTCAAGATGTCAAAAGGATCCCAAGATAAGCCAGGATTTGCCATGGTAGCTTGGCATATATGCGTCTGAAATGCTTTGGGGGCCGATATTTTTCTTGTTGACAATCCATAATCCTCTCCATAAAAGTGTTCATCACCGTGTCAACAATGAGTAAACGTCCAAAATGCAACATACAGACAGACTATTTACGAAAAGCTAGCTATTACCAAAAATATGATAGACCATGCTTGTCTGACAGTCCCACTCCTGCTGGACATCCTACTTTATCACCGTTGTCGAGACTTTAGGACGCTCTTTCGTCCCTAAAGTTACAGCAAGTGCGGAGATACTCGATGAAATCATCTTTCGGATACGGAATCGAACTCGCATCTTCAGCTTGCAATGCAAAATGCTTTGCTAATCATTACCAATTATGCAGAAGTGATCGGACCTGAATCGGATTTTAAGTTTAAACTGTCGGCATTATCAGGTATGTTATCAGTCATCTACCTCAGCTAACAGAAGTAGGGCTTCTTGTTTGGTTTTTGTGATGCCACTGTCAAAAGTCAAAGCCGGTTACCTTTGTGAGGACGTTCAAGATGAAATAATTATATTTTAGGAAGAAAAAAATACACCTAACAACTTACACAAATTTTATCCTGAAAATCCCGAAGTGTTAAGAAGTGTTTCTCCTATCGCTTTACTATTCTGAATAAAGTATGACTGTGATTGCCCCGTTTCAAGCTTTGGGATAACTTGGTTCCCCTTTCCTTGCGCTGTTCTCTAGAAATAAATGGTATTATTTCATCATTCCAAACCGTATTCTTATTCCATTTTACATAGTTCTATTCCAGACGAACACTACATTGATCTGTCTTCGGTTGTAGAAAAGTAACAACAATGCGAACGCACTTTTTTTTGCGTTGCGTTTTTTTGCGTTTTCTCTAAAACGCGATATTTTTAGGGGTATGGGGTTTTAGTGCAGCGAGATATCGGAAGCTATTTATAGGATTCCCTTGAAATTTGGCCTCAGTGTGGGTCAATTGGCGTAGTTGCAACCTGTTAAAGGCTTTTTTTGATTTATGGAATATTTTTCATATTACTACGTCTATATGCCTTAGAGGGAGTGATTTTAAGGAAAATTTCGGTGTTTTAGAAAGTCATGAGTTAAAATCCAGGATATCTCGCTTATTATAAACGATGTAAAAAAAAAGCCTCTAACAGGTTGCAACTACCTATACTGAGTGTATTCTGTGAAAATATTAACTCTGTAGCTTTATATATAAGAAAATTACGCCTGCACTAAAATAACGCTTTATAGGGGGTCGTGACACCCTAAAGTGTAAAAATTTGCCAGGAGCGCAGAACTAAGGTACATCTGACTACCTGAATAACGTACAAGACCCCCAAAGTCATATAAAATGCCCTTAAATGATTGCTAAGTCTGTGCAAAACGGATTTTGAAAAAAGCATGCTGGTCTTCCCTTAAGGTAAGGGGACCTTGAAGATCACTGGGGATCAATTAAGCTCTGAACATGAACATATGAAATAAATGATGAATAGCATTGATATTGCATATTTCCCTGCTCGTCAGCAAGCGCGAAGTGCTTTACAATCTATATTATTACCCCAGCAGACCCAAGATCACTCAGAAATCAGAAACAAGCTAAGCTTCCTAGGAAGCATACGCAGTGCAAGCAGCTGATTAAGTGTTCAATCAACAGCAATCTGACAAGATGTTCCACCGCATGTAGCCGGGCACCCATTCCAAATTGGGTGAAATGAGGAAAATTTGCAAAAAGTGCCTTCCCGAAAGTCACAATGTTGGGCCCCTGATGGGATTTGAACCCACAACTTTTTGATTTTGAACCCAACAGCCTAACCACTAGACCATCAATGCCATTTGTACAAGGCATGTCAGATTAAGCCTTTTTAACATGCCTCAAAGATAAGACTTCTACCCTGTGTTTGTTTTTTCCTGCCTCATAGACGTCAGTGTACCAATGTGTCCCATGACGGTTATGTATTAAAACTGTTCGATTCCTGTAAAAACGCTTGCATTCCAATCTTGTCTATTGTTATTACTGTTAATCAGTTGAATGTTAAGATGCATGGGTACATTGAGCTGCATTTTAAAAAAAAACAGAGTGGATGTTTTTCGTTCATATAAACTTCATATAATAATAGTGTACCATTGAGATAAAAGTGAAATTGTGCCAATACAGACCACAGACTCTTTTGTTTCAGCCACAAAACTTTATTGTAATTTCTTATTGGACCGGGCATTTAATTTCATTTGGCGTTCTGAAGGTTGGGGTGCTTCAAGATTTTGACAGTGTTATTTGTAGAC